TTTATGAACATGGAAGATTTTTGTTAAATATATAGGTCTGGCAACCCTAAATGAGTTCCTAAATTATTATAAGAAAAACATGTTTTACAAAACAACTTAGGTTCTAAATAATAAAGCTGTAGCATGCACATTTTATTCTACTATTTTTAGCCAAAGTTAACCGTTGTTTTCATATTTTTATTTTAAATTTATAAAGTATTTTGTTTAAACATTTTTACCCTGAAACGACACTTGATAGATTGTTCTTAGATTATCTGCAATTAATACAAGTTAATAGTTAAGATTATGCATTGCCAAGCTGTACTTACTAGGTTTGATATTCAATTCAATTTGCAATAATTAAATACTAATAATTTACAGTTGGTCGATGGCATGATTGATTATTGTTGACAGTTTTACTATTTTGCGTCAAGTGATTTGAGTTTGTTGATGTGATGTTTACATTCTGCAGGTGTGACAGGGTTCCCACCAAGAAAATAAAACAAAATTTCCTGACTTTTCCAGGTTTTCCAGACCAATTTTCATCAATTTCCAGCAATAATTAGAGGTACTATGCTCCACACCTCAAAGTCCCACCACGTGACCAAGTACGGAACGCAGTCTTTTGAAAATTTGGCGTTTAAGGCTTTTCAGGTTATGTATCTGTCAAAGTATAGTCAATGAAAGAAATCATATTTATAGTGATACCGCTTATGTTTAAGCGTTAAAAGTTAATAAATCTTTATAGTATCACAATAACATGGTTGGTTTAAGAATTTATGAATATAAATACTGCATTTAATAAAATTTCAAAGTGTAAGGTGCAATATAAGTGATATTTTTGTGAATTTAGTCTACATTTCTCCATAAAATAGTTTTAACTAAACAAAATTTATTAAAAAAAAATCTAACTTCTCTATTATGAAATAAGAATATCTGTATTTGATATATCAAAGGTAGGTTAATGTATTAGAACAAAAAATTTCATCTAATTTTGTATTTTAAGGTTAGAAAAATCTATTTTGACCAAAATAAATAAGTGGATTATTTGGAAGAGTGTGTTAATTTGGTCATAAATAAATATAGGTATACTAAATAATTGTTGAATATGGTTCAAATTAAAATGAAGCTCTTATACTTCTAATGACAAAACTTGTGCATACCTCTCGGCATACCTACTTTAAGTTATGTAGATTATAAGAAAACAAACAATTTTTAGAGAAACTTGCAATGTGAAAATATTTAATACTCCCATGACATGTGATTTATTAAAATTTTTAAAGTTATAATGATTTTTTGATGTAGATCAAATTCAGTCGAAGCTTTTTAACTATTTGTATTCGCAAAACTTTATGTAGGTACACTTTAAGCTGGATAAGAAAAACTACCACATTTTTAAATACCATATTATACAGACTTTTAAATAATCCAAAATACTTATTTATTTTGGTCAAAATAAATTTTTTTAACCTTAAAATTACAAAATTAGATGATATTTTTGTTATAATATATTAACCTACCTTTAATACAGATATTCTTATTCCATAATAGAGAAGCTAGATTTTTTTAAATAAATTCTGTTTAGTTAAAATTATTTCATGGAGAAAACCAGATATTTGGACCAAATGCACAAAAATATTACTTATTTGGCACCATACACTTTGGAATTTCATTAAATGCAGTATTTATATTCTTAAATTCTTAAACCATCCATTGTTAATCTAATGTTATAAAGATTTATACATTTTTAACGCCTAAACATAACATTATTTCTTTCGTTGACTATACTTTGACAGATACATAACCTGAAAAGCTTTAAATGCCAAATTTTAAAAAGACTGCGTTCCGTACGTGGTCACGTGGTGGGAATTTGAGGTGTGGAGCATAGTACATGTAAAGTAAAAATATATTTTATTTTTCTTTTTACAATTTTTTTTAACATTTCTTAAAATATAATAAAAAAATTAAACAGAACATTCATAAAAAATTTGAAAGGAAACAAACTTAGTTTATAAGGTCATACATTTTATATTATAGTATTTGCGCAAATGATTTATTTTAGTTTCAATGCCCGGCTATATTATTTGTAAAAAATAATCTTTGGCCGGTAATAAAAATGCAAACAATTTTCGGAAAAATCAAGAAAAATTAGTTAAATTCCCTGACTTTTCCTAAAATTCAGCAAATTCCCTGACTTTTCCCTGACTTTTTTACTAATATTTAATTTCCCTGACATTTCCAGGTTTTCCCTGTTTTCCAGGTGAGTGGGTACCCTGTGTGAACTCTTTGTTGGCAGACGTTGTTCGTTTCTCGAGTCCTTTGTATTTCTTTAATTTTTGCTTACATTTTCAAGTTTAACCTCACTAAAAAATTTAACTATTATTACTTACTTTTCTGTTTCGGATTAACAGATTTGTTTGTTATAGTCGTTAGCTTTGGTTTGCTTATTACAAACCTTTTTCTTTTGTTTATAATCATTAAATATAATTTGTTTCGTTTGTTTTTAAATGTCACATTCGAATTGGCTTTGAAAGACTTTGGCTATTCAAGCATAGATGGCGCTTTCCCCTCGGAAAAGTTTATTTCGCTATGTCGACGTTTATTTTTCTTTTGTCAGGATAATTATATTTTGTTTAGGTTTCTTTTTGTTTTAAGTTGATGTTTAGCGGTTATGGTGGTTAGTAGACCATTATCGATCGTTAACGATTTCCTTTTTCTTAAGTTGGTATTTGTTTTTGCGTATGCGCGATCCTTTAAAGTTTCATATCCTGATTACGTATTTCCGTCCTCTTCCTTCTTCTTGCGAATGTCAATGGAGGCGGTGTGTCGTTTTGAAGCAGTTTTAAAGTTAAAGTTTCTGTGTTGAAAATCCACTGCAAATGCAAATAATTTTGTGTAAAAGGATCTAGACAAGTACGTCGATTGGCGCGAACTCTAGAAGCCTTTAGTTTTACGATTTCTGCGAAAGCACTTTGGCATGGCGACCATTAACCTTTAAAACTGGTGAGTTTTCCAACTTTATCTAAGTCATCGGTCTTTAATGTTGATCGTTTATTTTTCCATGCAGTCCTGGAACGACACACCTATGCCTGAATAAGAATATTACCGATTTTGACGATTATACCCAGATTTGACACTTCTATCCCTCTCCTGCGCGATGACAGGAGTGACGTTTTGTCTAAGCCGGATTGTGTAAATCCGTAAGTACAAGGAGGTTTTGTTTGAAACTATACCCATGATTTTTTCTCTTTTAGGGCTTCTAGGATTTTTTCCTTAAGATTGTATCTCATACCGGACAAATTTCTTCGATACCTTGGCCTGACGCCACCCCCCCAATTTGAACCATCAACAACATTTTACCACCGCTTGTCGAAAACAACATTTTACTGCACAGATGCCACCGCTGCATGAACTGAACAAGGAATAGAACCTTAAGTACCATTTTGTTAATTATTTTGTGTCGGACATAAGAGCCGCTTAACCGGGTTGCGTTTTTTTTAACAAATATTATGATAACAGTTCTTCGGTATATTAACCCTTATATTTGCAAATTTGGAAAAACGCACAAAACCTATTTTACATTTGATAAAATTAAAACTCAACATTATTAAACACAGTTAAAGTTCAATCACCTTTTTTTTTTAAATATAACATAACCTTTTTCAGTGCAGTCAAACGTTAGATTTAGTGATCAATCTAACCTTTTAACATACTTTTAAATGATCACTTGGCGCCCACAAGGTAAGTTGCTGTTGACTTTTTAAAACCATATGGATCCACTATACCCAGCTCTCCGCAAAGTTTATAACATGAGTAGCCGTTCGCAAAAATAGGTACCAACAAAAACCTAAACGCCACAAAGCAACATAAGGCAAAAAATAGTAAATTAAATGTTTAATTCGTTATACTTTGTTCATAAAGGTTTTTCTATAAGATTTTTTATGCTGTATTTGTAATCAGGCATGTTAAAAGTTTTGGTGGTTTCTTGAAGAAACTTACTTTAAACACAACACAACTATTCAGTTTCACACTAGTAAGACACTTTTACATATTGCACTTAAAATCCCGCATAAAATTAAGCAGCTTAAATTAATAACCATAACAAACTTGTTTTGAAGGCCCAACTTTTTAATTTTGATAAAACATAACCTAACAAATGGACGTATTTTAGCTAAAAATAAATAAAAATGTTTAAGAAAACTACATAGTTCTTAAATGCATGGTATTACCTTATTTTTAATACATAACAACTTGTGCTTGTAAATTTAATTATAAATTTTTTTATTAAATGTCATTTGTAATTATAGTCTGTATGTTGGCAGAACTGATTTATGTTGATACTGAATGCCAACCCAATTGCTTCGCATTATACCTAGCCATATTATAATAATAAACAATAAAAGAAAAGAAAAATAATAAATAATTATAATATTTCTTCGTCTAAGGCCTTTTTTTGATACGATTTAATAAATTTAAGGTAGAAAAAAGCAAAATTATGCCCACATTTTTTGGACTTAATTTGCATAAAAAAAACTAAAACTTGTTTACTTTGTTGCCCTTTTAATTCAATACAAATACAAAAAATGTCAAATAATGGTTGTTTTTTTACATAAAATACATTAAAATTTTAGTTTTAGTATTTAAAATATTATATTATCTCGATAAATATGATCTATTTGACATATAACAATTAGTCCAGTACATTCAAGATAAATTTAAGCAAACATAATTTAATAAATAATTAAAATACAAACAAAAAACTTATATTTTGAGGTGATTGAGCAAATCATTTTATTACGAAATTATTTTAAATCCTAGACGTCCTAGAGAAAAACAAATAACATTTTTGAAATCAGCGGCCCAAAATTAGTTAAACTAAGCTGGAGTACTCAATGTTAGGAAAAATAGTTTCTAAAACTATCATGTAATGCTTAATTTACGAACTATTTCCTGAACCGTTTCATTTGGAGGTATTCCTAACACCTCAGCTTGGACCACGTCAATTGTTACTTCTGATTGGCCTATCGCAATATCACTATTGATAGTTGCTGGCTTTTTTCAATTGTGGTGAATGTGGCTGGGTCTGCTGGACCTCCGCCCGTCTGAGCAGCACTACGTTGGTGCTTGCACAAGTTGCTCTTCACATTTTTTTTTGATCTTGCCAAGTCTTAAAATGGCAAAATTAAACCTTGTGTCTACAACTTTCCATTCTTTTATTACACCATTTGGCATACTGTTCAATGTATTTGTAATTTCTTGCCACAATTCCGCAGCCTTATTCTTCGTAAAGGCAGGCGAAAAATTTCCAAACTGAAGTTCGTGATTTTTTAAATATTCCATAAGTAGCTTCTTTTGGGTGCATTTATGAGTGCACATCTTTGGTTATTTTCTGCCATAATTTCGAAATTTGTTAAAACTAAAACTACACCAAAAACGTAAACAAACAACAACTAAGTCGCCATGTCATTTTTGCAAGGTTACAAAACATCACGTAACATTTACACTGAATGTGATAGGTTAAAGCCGATTGCCCATAACTAACAACGCCGTATTTATACTTTTAATGAGAACTAACATAAATTCAAAAATACCTAAATTTTGCCGGGGAGCTTCTCATGAGAATTCGCCACGAGAACACTCCCCGGCGAATGATCACTATGAACTCAAAAATAGACGTCCAGGTCACAAGGTAGACGAAGTTCACGTCCCATAATAATGCTAGCGGGTGTCTGGCCGGTTGTATCGTGGATATAAGAACGGTACGCCAACAGGAACAGATGGAGGAAGCGGTCCCGGTCTCTTTGGTGATTAGAGACTACTTTCGACAGGTACCGGTTTATCGTTCGATTTATTCGTTCCACCATTCCATCAGACTGCGGATGTTAAGAATCTTACAGACATTATGGAACAATATAGATTTGAAGTTCCTGCCTTGGTCTGAAAGCATTTCCATTGGCACACCAAAACGACAAATCCACTCCTTAATAAGGGCATCGGCCACTGTGGCAGCTTCCTGGTTTGGCAAGGCGTACGCTTCCGCTCACTTGCTGAAGTAGTCCATTACAACGATGATGTATTTATTTCCAGATTATGTTTCCGGAAATGGACCCGGCACGTCGATTGCAATTCTCTCAAATAAGCTGCCCACTTTGTACTGTCGCATTGAGGCTTTTGGGCGCTTCTGGGGTCCATTGCTTGCCCGCAAACGGCGCACTTATTTCACCAATCCTTTACATATCGTTCACAATTAACACAATAAAACCGTTCCCTAAGTCTTCCAAGCGTCCTCGTCAACCCTTCCCCCCCTTCTGGAGTCTCCAGAATGCGCTTTACATTCGGCGAATATTGGGCGACTTCCTGCCACGTTGGTTTGCGGTCGTTCTTTTTCCAGTCGATGATGGGCTTCAAATCTGGGTCCCCTTCCTGGTCTTGTTGAACCTTACACAGTGCGCCTCTGTAAAGTTTAAGTTTTTTGAAAAGACCACCCAAATTTTGTTGTTGTTGATTATAGTGGACCATCCCCTCATTACATACCACTAGTCACCTAAATCGCAGCTGATCCTTCTTGAAAGATTTTTAGCTCTTTAGATTTTTTTTTAAGTATTTTTATAAAATTCAATTAAATGGAGACAAAATCGGTTTATTGTATTTATATGTATCGGTTTATACTTGTAGATTATAATAAGAAAATTAAAAAATGTATCAAATACAGTGCACTATACTTGACAGTCTTTAACAAAATCAAAATATTGGTTGACTAATATCTCTTTTGACTTTAAATCTTCTGCATTTTTCAACAACTTCCTGCAGGCATTCCCTTCAAAAAGTTCTCCTTGATAATTTTTCATGACTAAGTGTAGCTGTTTAGGACATTTTAATGCGTTTTCTTTGCCTAGCAGTGGTACAAGTCCTTTAAAAAATAAATGATTAATAAATATTTGCAAAAGATGAAGTTCCGGAATAATACATTTCTTGAAAATTTTAACGTCATCTTCTTCTTTGAAAATGGCTTTATTGATAGTACTAAAAGATTCATTTCCACGTTTTAAGTTTTTTTCAAAAATTAAGTCAAATTTATTGAAATGTAGTGTATTATCGCCATAGGAGCGCAACTCTTTATGATATTCACTGAGCGAAGTTCTTTTAACGAAATGTAGAAATAAGGACATGGGTAGAACGATGTTGCTGTCTGTAAGTCATTAACCATTAGAATTATTTTAAAGTCAGAAAGAAATTTAAAGGATATCTTGTTTATTTTTACCAAGTCAAAAAGTAAGTTAAGATTTTCGTATGTTTCTTTGATGTTAGGAACCATACAGAGGATGATCAGTCTCTTAACACCTATAAGTTTTCCTTTTTTGCAGCGTTACCTCCATCTGAATTCCTCGAACGCAATGAAATTTCATTCTCTTTATTTTCTGGATCTTCTGGAAATATGGACAGACATATTTTAAAAAATGATGGCCTTCATCGCACAAAACCTTGACATTTGGTGTGCCAAACTCTTGTTTCCTTTCTAAAATTTCGTTTACTAGGTCACTTGCATCTGCATAAATAACTGTCCGTAGGAGTTTTCCCTCTAAGGTTTCCAAAATTAAAAAACTTCTTTATAGTATTTAAACAAAATATGAGATCGACTTCTTCGCGAGGTTCTATATTGCCTGGGTATTGATTTTTTTCCTGCCGATGTTTCCGATACATAATATTTGTAATTTTATCTATCTGCCTGCCAGAAATAATAATAAATTTGTTTGGAAATTAATTAAATTTTATAAAAATACTTAAAAAAATTTAAAAAATCTAAAGAGCTAAAAAAGTTTCAAGAAGGATCAGCTGCGATTTAGGTGATTGGTGGTATGTAATGAGGGGATGGTCCACTATAATCAACAACAAAAAAATTTGGGTGGTCTTTTCAAAAAACTTAAACTTTACAGCTTATCGGACTGCCAATGATCATCCACAAGTGTAGTCCTGCGAATAAACAGTCTTCCGGGCACGATATTCTTGACAAAGCGTCAGCATTTCTATGGATGGTCCCAGCCCGATGTTCTGTGTCAAAGTCGAACTTCTGTAGTCTCCAATCCATCTTACTACCTGTTCCTTAGGATTATTGAATTGCAAAAGCCATTTTAGGGCAGCATGGTCTGTTCTCGCAAGCATTTTCTTCCATACCGTTACTTGTAAAAGTAATTTTTTTGGGTTTTTGTTTCTTGGGTTTTTATTACATTAATTTTCTGTTCAATGAAAATAACATTAATAATAAAAATTTTAAAAATGCCTCTGAAATTTTGTCTGCGGCAGGTCTTGTTTATCAAGTTGATGAGTTCTTATCAGTAAATATTTGATAGTACAAAAAAAAAATATTTCTATCATTTTTTGCAGGAGTTGTTATTGAAGAAATTGATTTACTCTGGTTATTTACTAAGGCAATATTATTATTAATATTATTATCCTGTAAAACTGTAACTTTTTCTAGCATATTCTCTAAAAAAGAATTAGTCAAAAATTACAAAAATTTAGTGAAAGCATGCTTTTTGACTTTGTAATATTTTGACTAATTCACTGCTGTCAATAATAACTGTAGTCCACAACAATTTGTATACCGTACATTTAACAGCCAATTCTCATTTAAAATTGTCCCCTGAATCCGAAAAGACGGTCATAGCAGTTTTTGAGATATAGTCAATTCCATATTATATGGAAAATTGACTAAATCTTAAAAACTGTCCTACTTTTATAACTTTTGACGACATATTTGGATTCAGCAGACAATTTTACATAGGAATTGACTGCTAAATATCCGGGATACAAATGTGGCAGCTTCTATAATTTTTTGCAGGAGTTGTTATTGAAGAAATTGATTTACTCTGGTTATTTACTAAGGCAATATTATTATTAATATTATTATCCTGTAAAACTGTAAGTTTTTCAAGCATACTCTCTTAAAAAGAATTAGTAAAAAATTACATGTTTCAAAGTAAAAAAGCATGCTGTTTGACTTTGTAATATGTCATTTTTGACTAATTCACTGCAGTCAATAATAACTGTACTCCACAGCAATTTGTATCCCGGACATTTAACAGCCAATTCTCATTTAAAATTGTCCCCTGAATCCGAGAAGACCGTCATAGCAGTTTTTGAGATATAGTCAATTCCATATTATATGGAAAATTGACTAAATCTTAAAAAGTGTCCTACTTTTATAACTTTTGACGACATATTCGGATTCAGCAGACAATTTTACATAGGAATTGACTGCTAAATATCCGGGATACAAATTGCTGTTAATAGAATTATTAGTGGCTGCTTTTTCGCTATGACAATTTTAACAACATTTTTAACTAATTCATTTTTAGACAGTAGTACTTTCCATCTGGTTTTTTTTTTAAAGAAAATTTGACAAATTTGTGTTTTTCGTTGCCGAAATCCTTTTTTAATGGTCCGCACTTTTGTGTGGCCTATGACTGCTTGACTAATTAATTAATTAATTTATTAATTATGCTTTTACTGATTAATTAATTGGTTTATTAATTATTTATTTACAAAATAAACAAATATTAATCACCCTAAAATTAAAAATAGTTGGTTATAGTCTTAGAAGGTTATAGTGATAAGTTTAACATATAACGCTGCCATATTTTGAATAAATTAAATTTAAATTACACTCGTTAAGATATTTTTTTTTTTTATGAAAATTTTGTTTGATTTATAAATAACCAATTTCCTGACCGTCTTGAGAATTTCCTGATTTTCCTGATTTTTTTGCCAATTCCCTGATATTTCTAAAAAATTTAAATTCCCTGACATTTCTAGGTTTTACAGGTTTTCCAGATGAGTGGCAACCCTGTAATCTCTTTTCCCTCTTGAATCAAAACAGCTCCCAGTCCCTCATTGCTGAAGTCCGTGTTCAGAATAAATCCACCATCCGGAAGAGGATAACTCAAGACTGGTGAGCTGGTCAACGCGTTTTTCAGGTTCTTAAAGGCTTCTTGGCACTCGTCGTCCCATTGGAATCGTCTCTTTCCCTCTCTCAAACGTGTCAAAGGCTTAGCAACCTTTGCGAATCCTTTACGTACCGACGGTAGTAGGTGCATAATCCAAGAAAGCTTTTTAAATCATTTGTTCTTCGGTATTGGCCATTCTTGCAACGTCTTTACCTTCTGTTTCTCTATTGCCACTCCTTGACTTAAAACGACTTGGCCCAGATACTGCACTTCCCTCTGGAATAAGTGACATTTCTTCGAGCTAAGCTTCGGGCCGGAGAATTGGTCCAAGTACAGAGCCTTGTGGTACTCCATGAACAGCAGTTGTGGCAGTTGATAGTTCATCATTCCATTTAACATGTTGCTTTCTGTATGAAGATAGTAGTTTGTGAACTTGACCTCGAACACAGTAATATACCATCTTATCTAGGAGAAGTTTGTGGTTAACGGTATCGAACGCCTTACTGAGATCGCAGCACATTATTGACGTCTTTTCTGAGCTGTTAAGAGCTTTTAGTATGAGTTTTATTATATCGTTGATTGCCATGGTGGTAGATCGTTCCTTTCTGTATCTATGTGGTTTCAAGCTTAACAAACACTTTTTTTTAAGTTTACCAGTCTATCCTTTATTAGAACTTCCATAATTTTTGATATAACAGGTAAGAGCGAAATCGGGCGGTAATTTTTGCACAGGTTTTGTTCTCCTTTTTTATAGATGGTATAATTTTTGATATCTTTAGTTCTTCGTGGAAATGGCCCTCATCTATGCATTTATTAAAAATAATTGCTAATGGATGTGATATGCAGGAAGCTAAACATTTTAGGATCTGTGTTGAAACTCCATAGATGTCTTCGGAATTCTTGCTTTTTAAGTTCATAATAATTGTATACACTTCGTGGCCATCTGTGTGTACAAATAATAGGGTATTTTTGTTGTCTATGCTTTTTTTTAGAAACTCAGTTGATTGCAGCTTGGAAGGCTGTGTTTGAAAATCAGAAAGTAGTGTGGGAGCAACATTTGCATAATAGTGGTTAAACTGTTCTGCTGTAATACTTCATCAACAGGTGCTTTTTTTGTTGCTTATTTGCCTCCTCCTTATTATTTTTCACATTGCTTTTTGCTTGTTTTTTGATGTCTTTATGAAATTGGTATTTGCTTGTCGTTTTTGCTTCAGTGATTTTTATCTGATATTTAGTTTTTAGATCTTTATACATATTGTAGATGGCGTCGCTTTTGACTACTTGTGCTATGGTAGCTAAGGCGTTTAAACTTTGTTTCATTTTGAGTATTTTTTCGCTCCATTCCTTTTCATTATTTTTTCCAATTTTAATTTTTTTTTGTTTCTAGGGGAAAACACCTTCGGTATCTACACAAAAATTTCTCATGAAACACTTTGTAGGCTTGTTTTGCTGTCATTTGTTGTAGAAGTTCGATCCATGGAATGGATAGGAATTGTTCATGAAATAGGTGAGTATTTTCCATGTTTGCTGTACGTGTTTTTACTTACTTTAATACCTTCTGATTTTACCATCCTGTGAGTTGGATCTCGAAAAATTTGTGCGTAATGGTCAGACATGTGTAAGTTGCTTGTTTGCAAAGCACACAGGCTGAGGTTTGTATTTGTTATCACGTTGTCAATACAAGTTGAAGTTGTTATTGTTTCTCTTGAAGGGGTATCAAACGCTGGCACCATTCTATATGAGGAAAATAATTTTAAGAGCTGCAGTTGTAACGAATTTTCCAAAAAGTTTATGTTATACTCTCCACCAACATAAATAAACTTGTGTGGTTCTTTTCCAGTTATAATTTTTAGCGCTTCATTAATTTGCTCCAAAAAAGTTATAAAGTTACCATTAGGGGATCGGTAAACTGCCAATACTATTATATGTTTTGTTTTTAGTTCGATGGCCGCCATCTCTATATCGAACTCAATAGACAGATCACCAATTTCCTTTATGTTGGTTGCATTTACAATATATTTTGTAAGGATTAACACTTCTCCGTGTATGTGCTTCTCCCTGGTAAAGTGGCTACTTATATTATAATTTGAAACGTTAATATCATTGATTACGTTTTGATTTAACCAATGTCAGACATATAATATCAATATTTTCTTGACTTAAATAAATGTTTAATTGTTTGATTATTGTTTTTATTGATTGAATGTTTAGGTTTAAAATTGTAAATGCTTTGTCAAAATTTTGTATATGAAGTCCTTTTTGCTTAACCTTTGTCAAATTCCCCATTTATTTGTTCTGGAAAAAGCCTATATTTACGTACAGTAATTCCAGCAGGCCAATTTTCAGATTTATACATCTCTTCCAAAAGGGAAAATGTGCTTTCCACTTTAAAAGAGACACTTTTTGCTCCTTCTCTGGACGGACATTTTTCTACCAAAAACTCATTTCGGTTAAATTTTTTGGAGAAATGGTTTGATATGTTTTCTACCGATGTATTTAAGGATGCTCTTCCTACGTGAAATGACGCTTTTCTTGGAGCACTTTGAAAAGCAGTTTCAGTAGCTGATCCAACAACTTTTTTGCTACTATTATTGTTAGAGTTATTTTTGGTATACTTATTTTTTTCTTTTTGTTCTTTTTGTGCATTATTTTCATTTGTATTTGGTTTATTTTCGTTTATTTGACTTCTTTCCTGCAACTTTTTAGACGTTCCGGCAACATCGCAAACATTCATGGCAGGACTTTGTTGTTTACATTTGTTTTGTAGTTCAATAATAATGTTTTTATCACTTACTGTTTTTATTATTGTTTTTGAATATTCCAATTCTACCTTAGCTATCTTCAGCTCACATTGTAGTGTCGTAATTTTTGTTGCCGTTTCTAGGTTATCTTCATTTAGTGCAGCGCCTTGTTTATCCAAAGTGATATTATCAGTTTTTATATGTTTCTTTAGTTCATTACTTAGTTGTGTTCCTTCAGGTATTGTTCTTTTCAAAATTATTTCAAAGTAGAGACACTATGTATGTTACAGACCGGAAGTGACCCAGACGCTACGTGACGTCAGCAGTAGGCGGTTCTCGATGGTGGCGCCCCCCTGGTGGGGTGGTGGGGGGTGATTATATTAGCTATTGGTGGGCAGCCATTTGGGCAACGCCCTCAACTGATAAGCGTAAGTGAGCCTATTGGTGGGTTGTTGGCGGATGGCGGCTGGCGGATGGCGGCCATGTTTAATAGATATTAGCTATTGGTGGATGGGCGTTCCCCTTAGGTGTTGTGGTTTAAAGTGGGCGGGGGATGTGTGTTTAGTTGGCATTACTGGAGATGTAAAAGATAAGCGATATGCATATTGGTTGTTTGTGGTTAGCGTATTAGTTTGGTATTACTGGAGATGCAAAAGATAAGTGATATGCATTTGCTGCGTGACTTAACAGTGGTTTGATATCCGGGGGGAGATAAGGATTTATTATTATTTTGTTGTAAATTTTATTTTTGACGCCATTTTGAATTGCTGACGTCATCCGACTTGTCCTAACAAGTCTATTTTTAATCCCAATGACCTGAGACCACCCCCTCCCTTTTTTAGTCACGTGACCAATGGGAAAAATGCGCGGGAAAAATCATAGGCTAGCTCCAGAGGCCTTTTTCTCACAATTAGGTGTGTCCGACCTTTTTTTATTAAAATTAAATTTTTTTAAATATTTTTGTGTACCGATCGGTACTCGGGAACCATCGGTTTTAAATTTTTTCATATAAAAAGACGGTGTTTTAAATATAATGATTAGTCATAATATTGCTTTATGTTGATAATGGGCTTTAAATTGTTATTAATATTTCTGGTAAGTATAATCTTAGTAAAGTCAACAAATTTAACTGATAAAGATGTTGTAATAAAACATCTCGAAACATTTGGTTACCTTAATAGTTCAGAGTTTTCGTTGACTAGTTATGAAGAAGCTTTAATATTATTTCAGGAGAGATATAATTTAAACATAAGTGGTGAAATGACGAAAGACCTTTTAGAATTTATAAAAACACGTCGTTGCTCTATACCAGATGAAAATATTTATGAATTGACGCAAAACCCACCTAAATGGAATAAACATAATATATATTGGTATGCATATAATAGAGAGATAAAAAGAGCTGCTACTAGAGCTTTCAATGAGTGGGAAAAATTTGTAAATCTAAAGTTTATTTTTTCGTTTAGAAATCCTGACATTCTAATTTCATTTGGGAAAAATAACCATAGTAATTCAGTTCGATGCATGAAGGGTTATTGTATTGTACCATTTGATGGAAAGGGTACTGTAGTTGGTCACGCATACCACCCAAGTCATATTAATTCCTGTACGGAAATTCATTTAGATTCAGATGAAAATTGGTATTTTGGTTTCGATATACCTGAAGATAATGATAAAACAAGTCTATATACCGCATTGCTTCATGAAATTGGACATACTTTGGGGTTGAGTCATTCATCAGATAATAATGCACTAATGTACGCATATTTTTCACCAAATATAACAACCCTATCCGATGAAGATAAAAAAAATATACAAAATTTATATGGATTACCTCCAACTACTCCAAAAATAGTAACATCAACAACCCCAAAAACTACTCCAAAAATAGTAACATTAACAACCCCAAAAACTACTCCAAAAATATCAACAACAACAAAAACAATCCCAACTACAAGGAAACTTACAGATAAACCAAGAACAACAAAAACAATAAGCAGACCTAAAATAACGGGTTCTACACAAAAACCTACACACACATCACCAAATTTAACTGATTTATGTCAAATCGAGTATCCACAACAAATGTTAGTCACAAATAATAATCATCTGTATGTTTTTAACAATGGGTTAGCGTGGATTTTAAATATAGGGGAGTCCTCTGGTATAAATATCAAAAGGCCTAAAAAAATTAGTGATTATATAAAATTAAATGATTTTTTACATATATACCAAAAACCTAGTGGTAGTGTGGTAATAATAGATAATTTAAAACGTGTTAGTACGTTTTCTTTTCCTAGTCTTGCATGTGAAACATTTAATCAAACAATAGACAAATTTAATATTGCTCGAAGTAGCAACATAAATGCCATTTTTAACTTTTAACATTATTCATTATTGGGTTACTGAAATTGATGAATGTAGTTTAAATGCAGTCAATCGGGGGACTATAAACCAGTTTTTCCCAGGAATCCCTCCAGATATATCTTCAGCATTTCGCTATACAAATGGTAACATTTATTTAAAAAAAAAAAATATTTTATGAATATAACGAATTTTCTGGTAAACTAATAGGAGCAGGAGTTTTTGATTGGAGTTTATTTGGAATAAATTGTCCGAATGAAACAATTTTAAATCAATTAAAAAATATATTAACATCCCTTTCAACATACTTTTATTAATAATTATAAAAGGTTAACTTTATTAAAAAAAAAATCATTTCAATGTTGACTTTTAAAGGTGGCGGTTTATTAAATTCTGCAATTAACAACCTACCCTTTGAGCTTCACGTGCCTTCTTATCAATTTTGCGGACCAGGTACTAAATTAGATAAGAGAATTCAAAGGGGTGATACTGGTATAAACCCCTTAGACGCTGCATGTAAAGATCACGATATTCAAAAAATAAAAATTTGGAGGATAGACATAAAGCGGATTGGATTTTGGAAAATAAAGCTTGGGAAAGGGTGAAATCTAAAAACTCTAAATTAGGTGAGAAAGCAGCTGCTTGGTTAGTAACAACGGGAATGAAGGTTAAAAGAAAACTTGGAATGGGTATTCAAAAAACTCGAAAACCAATCTCATTTAAACGTGGTTTGGTCGATAAAATTAAAAAACATGTTCAAGACGGCACTTAAAGCAGCTCGGGTGATTATAAAGAAAGCCGGGGGTCGTAAAAATATTAAAGTGCCTAGGATAATTCCATTTGAATCCGACAAACAAGGAGGATTTTTACCCCTTTTACCATTATTAGGAGCTTTGGGGGCCATAGGATCATTGGCTGGAGGCGCAAGCGCTGTAGCCAAAACGGTGATAGACACAAAAAATGCTAAAAAGAAACTTGAAGAATTAGGTCGACATAATAGGGCTATGGAGGAAATTGGGAAAAAAGGCTCGGGATTATATTTAAAAAGGAATGTCAAGGGAGGATATGATATTTTTTTAAAACAAAAAAACTACCAATAAAGCTACCCAATAGAGCCCTATATGATTCTGAATTGGTAAAATATGCAGAAAAGCTTAAAATACCCTATTTTAGAGGGGTTTTTATGCGAGACGCTTTACCAAAAATAAAAAATAAAAATGAATCTGCAATCCTAAATTTAGACATTTCGAAAAATTTGGGTACACATTGGGTAGCTTATACTAAAAGAAACAATTCTGTTATTTATTTTGATAGTTTTGGTGGTCTTAAACCGCCAAAAGAATTAGTAAATTATTTAGGAAAAAATGTTAAAATTAATTATAATAATGATTGTTTTCAAAACTTTAAACAAATTAATTGTGGCCATTTATGTTTGTGGTTTCTTTATAAAAATAAATGAGATAAGAAAATATGATTAGTCTATTATTAACCGTTGTTTAAAGATAATGTCCCAGCTATTTACATTAAAAAGTAATAATTATGTTTTAAGTATAAATTTTACAAATCCAATACAACTTAATCCAGATTTTGACTACGGTATAGCATTAATAGGGTTTTATTCCTATAACAGCATCCCTAATATTGAAGAAGGTGAAAATACATTTTATTATAAAGAAGCGAGTGTGGTAAAAAAAATAATAATACCAACTGGTACTTATGAAATATTAGATATAGAAACTTACCTAAGACAACAAATTATTCCTGGAAACGTTAAAAAGGAAGATTATGATAAATATTTTTCACTTAAACCAAATAATAATACTTTAAAGTGAGAAATTCAAAGGAATACGTTGGAAATAGATTTTACACAAGCAGATGGTATAGGAAAAATATTAGGATTTTCTAAGCGTACTTTAACGTCGGGTAAAAAACACGAATCAGATCTCCCAGTTAATATAATAAAAGTTCGAACCATTCACATCGATTGTAATATATCTACAGGTGCTTATTATAATTATCTACCAACACATACAATTTACGAATTTTCAGTAGACGTTGATCCAGGCTATACAATCAACGAAATTCCCCGAAACCTTATATATTTACCAATAATAAATAAACAAGAAATATTTAATATTACTTTGGTAATTTTAAACCAAGATTTTAAACCAGTTAATTTTCGTGGAGAGGAAGTTATAGTTCGATTGGAATTAAAAAAATTATCATAATGGGACTAACATTCAATAATTATTATAAAAATTCTAGCACAAACAATTTAAAATCAGTTGACAGCAAACGCTTGCCTAGTTCAAACAGCTTAACTAATTCAAATAGACTTTTTCTACAATCATTAGGATATAATGTCATCATTAGACCAAATCTTCGACATCTATCGAAAACCACAGTTTAGTGAAACAATTCAAAAGGTTGACTACAGAACTTATTACCCCTATGTTAAATCTTTTAATAATAGTGATGTTATAGAAATTTCAATAAATCAAAGAGATTCCTGGTTGCTTATGCACGATGCAGCTCTATTAATAGATGGTAAATTGGAAATAACTAAAGGGGATGGCGAGGCAGCCTTAATAAATAATTTTGGAGCTTTTTTGTTTGACCGAATTTCTTA